TCAGCTTTTCTCAGAACTTAGAAACTAAAGCAACATTTTTTGGTAACACATTTTGTAGTAGTGATCTGAAGCTTCTTGGCAAGCCAACAATGCTAGTCTGATAGTCTTCTTATTAAGGACAAGATAAGCATTTGCAAGAAGCCATTTATATCCATGTAGATTTATGATAGAAAACTGTATTTTGATGGTTTCTGAGAGTCTAAGAGAATTGATATTTAGAAGAGCCTCTATTTAGAGGAGCTTTAATATAATACAATTTCAGGAAATTTTAGTCACAATTTTCAGTATAAGATTCAAGCAAATGGAACGCTCACACTTTTATACCACTTTCTGTGGATACTTTGCCAGTGTGAATTCCTTGATTATAAGTCAGCCCTCCTACTTTATTTAGGTTCCAAATTTTGTCATATTATGGGGTAATATGAAATTTATCTCATTTCATTATTAAATACATAAAAATTTAAAGAAAGAGAATTTAGATATCTCTACATCAGGACAGATTTTTTAAAAGTTTTGGGAGACTCTATCAAAGGATAAATACTCAGCCAAATTTTAGTTTAGTCACATACCAACTGTGATCCTTTAGCAAAAGTTACTTATTTCTGAACCTGTGTTTTGTCGTTTCTAAAATGGAAATTATATCTACTTTATCAAACATTCAAAACTATTTTAAGTTGAAAATACTTTAAGACCTGAATATACAGGACTTTGGATCAGATCTTTGTCAGAACTTGTTAAAAATTGTCAGATCTTTGTAAACTTCATTGATACATGCTAGTATTACCAAAGAACTTCTAAAATTTCTAGTTTATGCAGAAGATCATTCATGCAAAGATGTCCAACCATCTTTGTTTTATTTTTGTTTTATTGCTGGATTACCAACAGCAGCAGTAGCAACAGCTTACCTGAATATAAGCTCCATGTTGACAGTAACTTGGTTTTGTATATTGTTGTACCCCTCACACTTAGAGTATGAGTACATGTAAATGCTCTATAAATGTGTTTTGAATGAATGAGTGATAACTAATATTTATATACATGATACTTCACATGTATTAAATTACTCCTTATAACTTCTTAAAGTGAGTGCTATTATTACCCCAGTTTATAGATGGAGAAACTGAAGAATGGCTAGCAGTTGGCTCAGTGTCACAGCTAGCAAGTAATAGAGCTAAATTTTGGAATGAGACATTTTGATTCCAGAACCCATACTTTTAACCACTGTGCTATATTTTTTTCTTGTGATCAACACCTAAAGACCTGTGGTTAGGCTAGAGACTTTTGGATCCAAATAGCTATTGATACAATAACAGTAAGTCCAATATATGCAAATATTTCAGTATGTGTCTATATATGTAAACACTAGATGCATTTCTAATAAATAGCAGATTTTCCTGTTTTCTGTTTTTACTGAATTATAAATGGCAGTTTTATTCATTTTCATTTCATATTGTTCATTGCTGGTATATACAAAAGTAATTGATTTTTTAGTATTTCTCTTGTATACTGCAATCTTGTTCATGTATCCTAGTAGTTTTTTGTAGATGCTTTCAGGTTATCTACATATATTGTGCTTTCTGTGAATAAAGATGGTTTTGATTCTTTTAAAATCTGGATTCCTATAATTTTTTTCCTTGTCTTATTGCACTGACTAGAACTTCCAGAACAATGATGAATAAAAGTAGTGAGAGCAGGTCAGATATGGTAGCTCATGCCTGTAATCACAGTACCTTGGGAGGCCAAGGCAAGAGGATTGCTAGTGCCCAGGACTTCGAGACCAGCCTGGGCAACATAGCAAGACCTTATCTCTCAAAACAAACAAACACAATGAGGTAGTTGTGGTGGCCTGTGCCTGTAGTCCCAGGTACTCAGGAGGCTGAGGCAGAAGGATCACCTGAGTCCAGGAGTTTGAGGCTTCAGTGAACCATGATTGTGTTACTGCACTCTAGTCTGAGTGATAGAGTGAGATCCTGACTCAAAAAATAAAAATAAGAAGTGGTGACAGCATACATCCTTGTCTCATTCACCACTGAATATTATTTTAGCTGTAAATTTTTCATAGATTCCTTTATCATGTTGAGGAAGTTCTCATCTGTTACTACATTGATGAGAGTTTTTATTAGAAATAAATGTTGGGTTTGTAAAATACTTGCATTGCATTTGTTCAGATAATCATATTGGGTTTTTTTTTTTAATGTGCATTATATTGATTGAATTTTCAAATATCAAACCAGCCTTGCTTTTCTAGGACGGCTGCACTTAGTTGGGTTGTATTAAGTTTTTTATGTATCTTTGGATTCTGTTTGCCAAATTTTGTTCAGATCTTTTCTATGTTCAGTGAAGACTTTGGTTTATAATACTGTTTCCTTGTATGGTCTTTCTCTGGTTTTGATTTAAGAATAGTTTTAGCTTCGTAGAATGAATTGAGAAGAATTTTGTCCTTTTTAGTTTACTGGAAGAGTTTGTGCAAAATTGATACTGGTTTTCATTAGCTGGTAGAACTTACCAGTGAAGCCATCAGGGCCTGTTTGTGTATGTGTGTTTGTTTTGTGTAAAGGTTTTTAATTACTAATTTAATCTTTAAAAAATAAACCTAGGGATGTTCAGATTATTTATTTGTTATTGAGTGAAATTTGGTAGTTTGTGAGTTTTGAGAAACTTACCTATTTCATCTAAATTGTCAAATTTAGGCCAGGCACGGTGGCTCATGCCTATAATCCCAGCACTTTGGGAGGCTGAGGTGAGAGGATTGACTGAGCCCACAGATTCAAGACCAGCCTGGACAACTTGGCGTGATCTCATCTCTACAATAAATTTTTAAAAATTAGACAGGTGTGGTGGCGTGCACCTGTAGTTCTAGCTACTTGGAAGGCTGAGACCGAAGGATCACCTGAGCCCAGCAGGTCGGTGGAGGCTGCAGTGGCTATGAGCATGCCACTGCACTCCAGCCTGGGTGACAGTGAGACTCGGACTCAAAAAAATATAAAAAATTAAAATTAAATTAGTTGTCAAATTTATTGACAAAAATTTGTTCATAATGTTTTCTTACACTTTTAAAATCTGGAGTACTTGTACTAATGTTACCTGTCTTGTTCCTGATACTGGTAATTTGTTTCTTCTCTCTTTTCTCTCTCTCTCCCTCTCCCCCTCCCCATCAGTCTGGCTAATGATTTGTCCATTTTTGATCTTCTCGTAATAAGGGTCTGAACAAGACTGAATTAGCAATAATAAGGTCTTGGGAAAGGTGAAGGGAACAGCACTGGGCACAGTTCCCACATAGGGAAGAAGTTTGCATTTTCTTTTCTTTTCTTTTCTTTTTAAGTGAGAAAGCAGGATTTATTGAGAGGACAGAAAAAGCTCCCATAGTTGGAGGGGACCCGAGGAGGTTGTCCAGAAGTTTGCATTTTCAAAGATTAGTTGCAGGTGACCAAAAGTGGAAGCATGGAGAGCAGTTATAAGGCTGTTGCAATATTGTAAGTTAGAGAAAGATGATGTTGACTTGGACTACTGAAGTGGCTAACAAGGTGTTGAGAAGTGGTCGAATGCAGAATATATTATGGAGGTAGAGCCTTAGGACGTGCTAATGAATTATATGTGGAGAAATAGAGACGAGTCATGAATGATGTCTGGTCTTAGGACTGAGTAATGTGATTAATGTTGGCTTTGTGAAATAGGGAAGATTGAGAGGCGCATATTTGGGTTATTATGGAGAGAATGGAGTGGAGAAGAGACATCAAGAGGTCTGATTTAGATGAAGTGAATAATTTCAATTATAAGTTGATTCAAATAAGTTTTTGCTGTTGCACATATTTCTTATGTTTGCTTAAGTTATTCAGGAAATTCAGTCTTCACCTTGTAAAGATTGTCTAATGAAGCCACTAGGTAAGAGATATTCAAGGTAGAAAAGGCAATGTTTTACAGCTACCTCAGCATATAACTTAAACATTTAAGTTATACTGGGAAATAGAAGAAGCAGATACATGTGTGAATTGTTTTATGCTAATAAAGACTTTGATTCAGGGTATACTTTATGCTAACAAACCTCACAGACAGATATTCTATTTGTAGGTAGTGCATGTAATGTGAATAACCAATATGAAGTTTCAGTGAGATCAAAACAGAATTCTGAAATTGTTTAATGTTTTGATCTTTTCTTAAGTTCTTTGTGTATAAACCAGATATTGAGGGGAACTCAGGAAAATTGGGCCCAGAGTCTCAGGCCTCCTTTTAAACAGACCATGATGTTAAGTTCAGACCAAGAGAACTGGTAGAATCTGCTGACCTTTGGAATAGGCCTAGAAGCTAACTAACATCTGGGAATGGAATGTCTGAATCTCTAATTTTGTGAAATGGTAAACTAAAGAGAAACCACTATGCTCTCCTGGAAAATACTCTAGAAAATTTAAAGCTTGTTTAACTATTAGACCTTATCTCTTTCTTGATTTTAGTATGCCTCCAGATCAGGATAAAATTCTTTCAGTCTCAAACTAAAGTAGACTCAGAATACATTAAGAAACAGGAATGAAAAAAGAAATAAGAGAAAGTTTTACAATTTGCATTTTCTTCCAGCAATCTGCTAAATAAAATGTAATAAGCATTTAGTATGAACAAATCCTATAAGGGCAGAGACCTTAGAAGTGTCATTAATCACTATTTTTCCACCATAAGCATAGTGTGGCTACTCTGACAGTTTTCTAGGTGAATATGTATTGTAGTGAAGCCGTATTTTTTAGTGAAAGCTTGGCTTATTTAGTGATTTTTAGATACATTTCTTCACTAGAGGGTGCTGTGTAAGCATTCAGCGCTTTAAAAGTGTCATCTCACATTTACTTATTTACTGGGAGATTGGATTTTTAAATTTCCTGATTTCGTAAAAGCTTCCTTTGCTTTTTCTTTGTTTTCAGAACAGTACTGATGGTATTGTATGTGGTTAAATTTATGAAATTGAGTATAGTTGTTAGTGGCAACATTAACGTGTTTCTTTTCTTCTTCCTCTTTAGTAGACTGATGACTCCAGTCATGTATGCTGCCCGAGATGGTCGCCCTCAGGTTGTTGCTCTCCTTGTTGCTCATGGAGCAGAAGTTAATACACAGGATGAGAATGGTTATACTGTGAGAGAAACATTTTTCCAGTGTTCTTTTTTATAGCTAAGACATTGATATCTTGTTGTGATAGTAATTTACAAAAAGTTTTTTAAAGTAATAATTAAAGTAAGACTGGGATATAATTGTTGTCTGGTGAAAAAAATCAACAGCTGAAATAGAAGTAAAGGAATTAATTGACTCTTTTAGTCCTCACTCCCAACAAAGAAATTATAACACACAATAAAACCTGGACTTTGAAATACAAATAAGAATTATTTTTTGTAGAAAACAACTCAGTGATTGGCAAGTAAGTCATTTTATTGCTTAACATCACTTAACTGTGTAAAACATTGGTTTTATAAAATAAGTGAGCATTGCATTCTGCTTTGCAATTACAGCTTTGGAAATATGTTTACATTATATTGTGAAATGAAGAGATTGCATCGTTCCATTAACTAACCATGTTCTCTTTTTTATTGTGCCATAAATACTGTTGAAAACTTTTCTTGTCTGTCTCATATACATTCCTTCTTTTTACACAATCTTTTTTCTCCCATTTAAAGGCTTTAACATGGGCAGCACGTCAGGGTCATAAAAATGTAGTTCTGAAGTTACTTGAACTTGGAGCTAATAAAATACTACAAACCAAAGATGGGAAGACACCAAGTGAAATTGCAAAAAGAAATAAACATCATGAGGTATACTTCTTTATATGTCAAACTCATTTTTCTGTGGCATGTCACCTTATCATTTGTAGAACTTTTATATTATTTTGTTAGAATTTACAAGTATAATTATAGTGTATTTGGCTATTATGAAATGTTTAAATATGCATTTTTCACCAGACAGGTAATGAAAACTTCATTTTGCTAGAGTATTTATCTTCTTCTAAATAAGAGGTACTTATAATGTGGTAATTTAAAGGCTATATAAAAGGATAATAAAATCTTATTCTGGCTCTAGGAGTAAAATTGTAATAGACTATTTAAACATTTCAAACTGGTTCAGAATTTTATGAACTAATTAATGTATTGAGAAAGCCAGTTAACTGTCAGAATTTGAACATGCAATTAAAACATTTTCTGTAATTTCAGTTAATAGATTATTAGACAGTTTAAAGACATCCTTTAAGCAATATTTACTCCTATAAGTGTGACAAAGTAGATGATAAAGTGATAACTTACTTAGGTATATAATATACTGTCATTCAGATGTTAAACTCAATAATAAGTATTTGCTATGCATTAAATTATTTATATAAAGTTTTGGCCAAATTTCTATCATTTAAAACCAAGAATCAAATATAGTACAGTTGTAGAACTGCGTTGTTTAATTCATGAGTTTCTGAATGTCACAGCATGTAAAATTCCAAATGTTTCATCATATAATCATCAGGCCATGCTACTTTTCCTGAATGTAAAGTAACCTACTCTAGTTTTTAAAGCAATCTGATAAACCTGCCTACCATTTTCCAAATATTATTTTAATGTTTTCAAAATTATATTGGAGTAAATGCTAATCACTAAAGCCTTGTAAAACTTCAAAAAGAAATTTACCATTTTTTCCAAGCATTGAAAATTTGAAAACCCAAAATTAGTTTACTGTCTTATTATATTTGACATAATAAGAAATTTATGAACATCAAAGATTGAGTCATAAATTATTTCTTGAAATGAGATTTGTTCATGTATTTTGACTGATTACGTGACATAACCTTGACTTCCTAAGAAGTTCGATTTTAAAACTAAGGAATTTCACCACATCTCTTTAAGGTGTTCAGTTGGAATTTGTATGCATTTAGTCATGCTTATTACTTCCTTTCCGTGTAGCTATGTATGTAAAGTATTACACTAGCACTTGAGTCGTTTATCAAAATGGTATTTTTAGTTTTGTTTTATATTAATCGCTAACTTCCCTTTATTTTCACTATTTTAAATTAGGTGCTTTTTCTTTTCTGATTATGATTGTAGGTCAAGGAGCATTTATTTAATATTCCTGTTATCATGATAGAATCATTACACATTACATATATGTATCAAAATGTTACATTTACTTGAACAATATGTATAACTATGATATATCAATTTTTAAAAAGTTGTTCTTAGGATAGCCATTTGTGAAAGTTCTGTCTCTTTCACCTTGCCAAAATTTCCTTTCGGAATATAAAATAATCATATTTTCAGATTCTTGGAAGTATATGTGATAGTGTGTAATGTTAACCATATTTCAATGGCTTCTTAACCTTTTTCAGATCTTCACCTTACTTTCTCTGACTTTAACTCCATTGGAAGGAAAGCTTCAACAGCTAACCAAAGAAAAGACTATTTGTAAACTATTGGCTACAGATTCTGATAAAGAAAAGGATCACATATTTAGGTAATATAACATTCTTTAGTTCAACAGAATAAGTAAAAATTGTATATAGTTTTATTACTTGTAGCAAATGTGGTGACTTGTTTAACAAATATAGTATTTTAACTTTTTATAAACATTTGAATATAGTATTTAGAAATGTCTGGATTTTGAATGTTTTGTTCTCTAGAATTTTACAAAATTTTTATTTATATGTACTAACACTAATGATAGTTTTTATTTTACTTTTATGTAAACGTCTAGAAAAATTTTATTGTATTAAAAACAATATAATGCATTTTCAAATGGTTCTAAGATTATGTTAGTGTTCAAGCAGTACCATACCTTACTTTCTAATTCTTTTTAACTCATTCCTAGTTTTATATGCTAAAATTAAAAGTACAGTTTTCTCTCTGCACACTATTGTCAGTACAAGCCAAAACACATTCTCTACATACCCATTTAAAGTTGCTATTTAATTTTTACTTATTGCAGTTAAAGAGGTGTTTTGTTTTTGATCTAACACTCCTACACCCAAGCCATCCTCTCATTTCAGTGTCCCGAGTAGCTGGGACTACAAGTCCATGCCACTACACCCAACCAAAGAGATTTTTATGTGCAGAGATTTCATAAGGAATACTTATTGGAAAATATTTTCTTTCCTGGGAAGGATGAGCTACATTTTATCATTGCCATTTTCCCTCTTACCTTCACTCAAGAAAAACCAAATAAAGGTCTGGTATGCAAATTACAAATATAATCTACACAGATTCATTCTTACTCATTCTTATTCACATCCTCTCTCTGAAATATGAATGTATATTGTTTGTGTGCTTATAGTTTGTTCTGAAATTGACATTGCTATAAATGTGTATAGTTCATGTACAGCACTTGGAGATCTGGAAATATTTTTACATGGTCTTGGACTTGAACATTTGACAGATTTATTAAAGGTAAGATCTTATATAACCTATGAGTTGTATATATATGTTTAGTCATTGGTTAGCATGACATTATATATTAATGTATAAACATGCCTGTGAATGACTGCCAAATCACTTCATAATTTGTAGTACATTCCATTTTCAGCTTGTAATGAGCATTTCAAAACTTTATTATTCTAGAAATTTGCCTGAAAAGAATCTGGCTGGAGTAAACAGCTTTTGCCCACTGCCTCTTGCCACTGTATACACCTAAGCCCTTAGTTTGTTTTTGCAGTTTTTGATCTGATTAACATATTAGAAGAAACATAATCTTCAACCATATACCCCCAGTATCAGATTCTTGCTCTAATGCTTATTCTTTGAAACATATTATTTAAATAAATATATCTTTTTTGTAATAATAAAGATAATAAAACCTAGTGTAGGATTGCCATGAAGGTCTAGTGTGTAAATTGTGTGATGGAATTTGAGTAGATGGCAATTTTTATCAGCTAGGTGGGGATATTGAAGCAGTATAACACTATTTAAGACAGACTTCCAGAAGTATGCATATTCTGTTAGGTATTTCAGAGTTGAGTTTCATTGTTCAGTCTTGAAACTTCTTTCTGTTTGTAGAAATCTTGAGTAAAAAATACGTGTTTTTGATGGTATAATGTGATACAGTCAAAAATTTAAGATATTCATAAAGCATAATTTCTGTCTAATTTTATAGAATTGCCTTTTATGTAAGCAAATGTGAGTGGTAACTATTTTCTTTGGATCTGGAAAATTGTGTTATATTTTTTAGGTGAATATAGGCATTATGGTATTCATTACTATATATCAACAATATATTTCTATATCTACATATCTTATCCCCTGTAGAAAGTTGGAAGTTGTTTAGGGGTGGAATATGTAACAGACCAACTTACATACACTTGCCCACTTCCCCTTCTACTGTTTCATTTATATGGAAACTTGGTGCATTTTTTTTTATTTTACAGGAAAGGGGTATAACTTTAAGACACCTTTTGACAATGAGGAAAGATGAGTTTATAAAGGTTAGTATTAATTTTAAAAAACTGTATATTCTTTGATTTTTTTTTTTTTTTTATGTTGGTTCCTTTTCTTTTCTTTCTTTCTTTTTTTTTTTTGAGTTGTCGTCTCACTCCATCAACCACACTGGAGTGCAGTGGCCACTCCCGGCCATTGCAGCCTCAACCTGCTGGGCTCCAGCGATCCTTCTGCCTCAGCCTTCCAAGTAGCTGGAACTACAGGCGCGCGCTACCACGCCCGGCTAATTTTTTTGATTTATTGTAGAGATGAGGTCTCACTAAGTTGCCCAGGTGGGTCTCGAACCCATGGGCTCAGGCAGTTCACTCACCTCGGCCTCCCAAAGTCCCAAAGTGCAGGATTACAGGCTGAGCCACCGAGCCCGGCCTCTTTCTTTTTTTTTATTAATTAATTTATTTATTATAAAGATGTGGGGGTACCTATAATTCAGGGTTAGGAATACAAACATTGATCATGCAGGTACACTTGTTTATGAGGTATACCCCTCCCTCCCCTAGCAGTTTCCCCCAACTCCCCTTCCCCTGACAGTCCCACTCCCCTTCCCCTGACAGTTTTCTGCTACTGCCAATCGCTTTCTCCTTTTATTTTCTATTTTAAAAATTCAAGGCTATAGGCTGTGATTTATCTTTTACTACATTCTTGATTAGATGTGATTATGGATAACCATATCTAATAATATGGGTAACCATATCTAATAATATTGTATTGTGCTACAATATTGTTACTTTAAGAACATTTAAAGATTTAGAGTTTTGAATTTTTTTCTTCAGATTGTCATGACATCTTGACAAAAACTGGTGCTTCATTTCCAAATGTGAAGTAGATTTGTAAAATAAGGTACTTAGAAATAAGAGATGGTTTTTATGCATGTGGATATTAACATGTACCTTCTAAATAATGCCTTTTGCTTGGTTCTCAAAACTATCAAAACATAGGATTTTGCCATTAGTATTATCAAGTAACAGCTGTGGGAAGTATTAGAGATACTTTGATAAAAACAATGATTTTGCTGCATGAAAATACTGGAAATGAAATATATATTTTTTGAGTTGGAGTCTCACTCTGTCACCCAGGCTGGAGTGCAGTGGCACGCCCACAGCACTGCAGCCTCAACCTGCTGGGCTCAGGTGATCCTTCCGCTTCAGCCTTCCAAGTAGCTAGAACTGCAGGCAAGCACCACCACACCCAGCTAACTTTTTTGATTTATTGTAAAGATGAGATCTCGCCAAATTGTCCAGACTGGTCTCGAACCTGTGGGCTCAGGCACAGCCTCTTACATTGACCTCCCAAAGTGCTGGGATTATAGGCATGAACCATCGCGCTGGCCTGAGATGAAATATTTTAGTCACAATAAGCATACCACTTACACTTAAATGCAGGATATAAAATTTTGTTTAACACTAAAAGTAGAATAGAGGCAAAAAGAGGGATTGATTTGCATTGATCATTAATTTTAAGTAATATTTTGAAGAAAAAATTGTCCTACTGTGGTTTTTGAAAGATGATACAAGAGAGGGATTGGCAGTTGCAGGACACTGCCAGGGAGCAGGAGGTTGCACATAACATCACTAAGGTTACCTGATCCTAAACCAGGGAAAATGGAAGATCAGTAGGAGGCCCAAATTTCACCTGCACGTAGACCACTTTTGTACCTAATCTTGGCTTGCACCCCACATCTTTAAAATAAAATAAAGGGGAAAAAAATAAAAATATAAAGCAAAATTGACAGAAACAGAAAAATGAAATCTTTTCTCCTTCCCTCCCTCTTCCTTCTCACCCTGTCCAAATGAAACCATTTAAGTTTCTCTATGATAGCATTTTTCATGTTAAGCCTAAATCTGTATTTATTGAAATTTTGATCTTTAGGGAAAATTTGAGAAGAATATGTGAGCGTCCTTATATATTTATTTTGCAAATTAAAGGAAACTCAGTGCTAATGATACATTGGTTACTGTATTTTCATCATTTGTACTTACACAGCAATTCTTACTAAACATCTTAGATTTACTATATGTGACATTATTCTGGATAATAGATTCTGGCACCCATATACACAATTCTAAATCCCTTTTTAAGGCTCTGTGGCTCTGGGTTACATAACAAGTAAATGTTTAATATTAGAAATGGAATAAAAGTATAACATACATTTATACATTGAATTAAAGTTGTAATAAAATTTTTACATAAAAGAAAGATATATTAATTTCTAGTAATTTGTTTAGAGTCCATTGCAATTGTTATATATTACAAAAAATTGACTGATTGTTATATGTCTATTTTAATGATATAACTAACTTTGTCAGTCACAGTATAGCAAGCCATTTATTTTTAATATATTTGTTATTTTTCCAATATGATTTATATTTTCAAGATAGGAATTCTTCAAGTAGAAAATTTATTTATTAATTTTGAATATTAAATTATTCAATTATAATTATCTTACTGTAGCTTAAAATTTATCTTAATATATCTTAAAATTATTTCTACTTAGAATGGAATTACTCATAAAGATCAACAGAAAATTCTGGCTGCTGTTAAAGAACTAGAGGTAGAAGAGATAAAATTTGGAGAGTTACCTGAAGTGGCAAAGTTGGAAATTAGGTAAAATTAATTTGTTTGCTTTCTTTAATATTGTTTAGAACCAATGTTCTTTTTAAATTTAATTTTGATAATGTATGAGTCATTTTACTTGATACCATCATTTTCCCAGATTAATGGAGTTTAGAATATACTTTGTTCTGAAACTGGATATATTTTAGAAAGTTAATTTTTATAATGTCTTTTTATCGAGAAGCAAAATGATGTGTGTTCTTGTTAACTCTTATAGAAACATTTTTGTTTTATTTTTTCCTTGCTAAACTGAACTATGTAAGAGAGCCTATGTTGTTTATAACATGCCTTTTACTCTCTTTAAATCATTTTACTTGTCAAGTTGAAAATTCAAAGTAGTAATATTTTCACTTAGGATAATAAAGCATTTCTCATGTAACTCTGCTCTATTTTCACCCTTACTGTATGAGAAATTATATTGCCTGCATGTAAACTTCATTTTCAATATTATAAACTTGTCAAGCACTGGTTATTAATGATCCAAAATCTATTTTGAAAATAGTATTTAATTTATTAGCATATTATAGAACAGTAAGTGATTTTTTTAAACTTTCTATCTTGAAATAATTATAGATTCACAGAATATTTCAAAGAGATTTCCAGGGAGGTCCCATGTACCCTCCACCCATTTTTGCCTAATATCAGTATCTTGCATAACTGTAGTGCAATATCAAAACCAGAAAATTGATGCTGGTACAATCCACATAGCTTATTTATATTTCACCAGTTATACTTGCATTCATTTGTATCCATGTATATATAACTCTGCAATTTTAACACATTTGTAACCACTACCACAATCTACTTAACATGCCATCACTACAAGGCTTTCTCATACTACCCCCCATAGCCATATTCATCCCTCTCCCAATCTCAGTCACTAGCAAGCAATAAGTTGTTCTCCATCTTTATAATTATGTTATATCAAGAATGTTACATAAATAGAAGCATGCAGCATATATCCTTTTGAGACTGACTCAAAGTCATTGAATGTATCAGTATAATAGTTCATTTCTTTTTATTGCTAAGTAGTATTCCATGGTATGCATATACCACTGTTTAACCATTTTCCCACTGAAGGACATTTGTATATATTTTAGTTTTTGGTTATTTCAAATAAAACTGCCATGAATGTTCATTTACAAAAGTCTGTTAGAAAATAAGTATTCATCTCTCTGGGATAAATGCCCAAGAAGACAATTGATAGGTTGAAAGGTAGTTGCATATTTAGTCTTTTATAAAACTGCCCAACTGTTTTCCAGAATGGTAGTACTGTTTTGTAGTCCCAGCAACAATATGTTATTCAGTTTCTCTGTACTATATTTTCACCAGCATTTGGTATTAGCACTATTTTTTTTTACTGTTAGCCGTTCTGATGGGTATGTAGTGGTCACTTATTGTGGTTTCATTTGCATTTACTAGTGGCTGATGATGTCAACAGCTTTTAATGTCTTATTTGCCATCTGTGTATCCTCTTTGGTGAAATGTCTAACAATGTCATTTGCCCATTTTCTATAGGGTTGATTTTTTAATGCTGAATTTGGGGAGTTACTTTTAACTGTTTATCAAAAATTAAGTAGCCATATTTGTGTGCATATACTTTGTGTTCTTTATTCTGGGTTCTTTATGTGTTTGTCCCTCTACGTGTACCACATAGTCTTGGTTATTCTTTAATTTCAGCTTGTTTACATATGCAGTTGATTTTTGTGTCTTGATCAATTATATATCCTTCAACATCACTGAACACTTATTGGTTCTAGAAGATTTTTTTTTAAATAAATTCTTTGAGATTTTCTACATAGATAATCATGTGGTCTACAAAAAGAGACAGGTTAATTTTTTCCTTTCTAATGTATATGTACTTTATTTCTTTTTCTTGCCTCATGATACTCAGAACATTCAGTACTATTTTGGATAAGAGTGATATATAGTGGACATTATTGCCCTGTTTCCAATCTTAGAGGAAACCATTTAAGCTTTTTTTTTATTATCATGTTAGCTGTAGGTTTTTTGTAGATGTGAGATGGAAGAAATTCTGCTCTATTCTTATATCCTAAGAGTTTTTATCATGAGTGGTTGTTGAATTTTTAAAATTTTTTTTCTATGCCAATTGATACAACCATATGACTTCTTTTCTGTAGCCTGTTGATAGGTAAATTGCATTATTGCACTTTTAATTATTGAACTAGCTTTGCAAACCTGGGATTAATCTCTTGTGGTTCTAGTTAATTATTCTTTTTATGCATTGTTGAATTAGATTTGCCAGTATTTTGCTAAGAATGTTTGAAACTAAGTTCATGACAGATATTGCTCTGTAAATTTCTTTTTTGTGCTTTGTCTAGTTTTGGCATCAGGGTAATACTGGCCTCACAGAATGCATTGGGAAGTGTTCCTACTCTTTCATTTTTGGAAGAAATTGTGTAGAATTAAACATTTTTGTAGATTTTTCCAATGAAACCATCTAGGCCTGGATATTTTGGGGAGGAAGGGGAAAGCTTTAAATTATAAATTCAGGCCCAGCACATTGTTCACACCTGTAATCCCAGTACTTTGAGAGGCCAAGATGTAAGGACTGCTCGAGGCCAGGAGTTTGAGACCAGTCTAGACCACATAGCAAGACTCTGTCTCTTTAAAAATAAATAAACCAGGCATAGTGGCACATGCCTATAGACTTAGCTTTTTGGGAGGCTGAGGCAAGAAGATCTGATTGAGTATAAGAGTTTGAGGATGCAGTAAGCCACGATCGCATTACTGCACTCAGCTTGGGCAAGAGTCATATCTTGTCTCAAAAAAGTCAAAAAATTACAAATTAAACTTCTTTAATGGTTATAGGACTGTTCATGTTATATCTGTTTTGCCTTGGTTGAGGTGTGGTAACTTGTGGTTTTTAAAAACTTGGTTCATTGCTTCTAAACAATCAAGCATAAAGTTGTTCCTAGTATTTCCTGTTATTCTTTTGATGGCTCTGGGATCTGTAATAATAACCCATTTCATTCTTGATATTGATTGTTTGTTTCTTTTTATCTCTGTTTTGCTAGGTGTTTATCAGGGGTTTTTTGTTTTGTTTTGTTTTTTATTCAAAGAACCCGTCCTGTTTAAACTTGTTGAAAGAATCTCCAAAAAAATTCACTGAAGCTGAACATAGCCTCTCACAACAACACTAACTGGTACACTGATGCCCGTGGGTTCCTAGAACACTTACCTAGTGGGAGAAGCCTGTACTACAAAGGGCATGCCCTTCACTAATATAATAATCCCAGGTTTTTTAGGACCTCCTTTGTAAGCATTAAGTCTTTTACATTTTCCTCGCAGCACTGTTTTAGTTACATGCCACAAATTTTGATGTGTTGTGTAGGTCATTTTCATTCTCTCATATATATTAATATATTTTTATTTTCTTTGAGACTTTCTCTTTGGCCCATGTATTTTTTAAATAATCCATAATACATGACATTTAATTTCTACGTGTTTGGAAATTTTTTCCCATTTTCATTCTGTTACTGATTTCTAGTTTGATCCTATTATGTCAGAAAATACTGCATATTATAGAATTCAAAGGGCTCAATAACTACACATGACCAGTGGGAAGACAGAGGTCTAGAGAATCAAGACTTTAAAGGTTTTGGCAATTTGAAGTAAATCTCCCCAAGACTTTATATAATTAAATTTAATAGGGATAAATGGAAAGTCCCATATGAACTATATTACCATAGGATGGGTGAGACCAAGCTTAATATACTTGTAGAATCAGTCACTAAGGCTTTTAGTTGATTATTAACTAAGTTTAGGTTAACAGTATCACATGACTAGCCATGACAAGCTAGCACTCTAAGACTGCATTAATTGAAACATAATGACCAGAGTAAATAAGGTAATAGTTTAATTGTACTTAATATCTATATCAAGAGCTTTTTTTGCTTATGGAAGGAATTTAAACACAGGATAAGATAGAAAATCTGTAAGTTTTCTTCCTTTTTTTAAATATGATGTTTCAGTGATTTTTATAAATATTTTTGTGTATAGACATTCCCCATAGTAAAAGTACCCAGATTTTAGAATCCTCAATAACCTATTATATTTGTTTTCCTTCCACCAACTAGGTAATTTTGAACTTCTCTAATTTGGCAACACCACCTGATAACCAGACTATGAGGTCGTCCCCCTCCCCCATAGCTTTCTTCCCTTTCTTCCCTCATTGGAGACAATGTGCTCCAAATATGTTTTTCTTCAACCCTCTGTCTCCCATGGGACCTGGTCAGGTTAATTACATCTTACCCAGTCTTTTTTGGGTATGTAAGCCTCTCTTAACTCATTCTTTCTGTTGTTCTTTTAATGCTTGGGAAACTCTCTTCCCCTCCTCCTTTGGCTTCATGCGGGTCAAAAAGTAACCATTATAATTAGGGACTAAGCATAGGACTGATACTTGTGTAGAGGACAAATAAAATGTTTACCTCCAGAGTTTGTAAAAGTACATACAAGTTCTCTGTAAGGAATCTTCACAGATAATTTTCTCTTTCCTCAGATTCTTGTAATCTTACTTTTAAAACCTGCTTAGCATTATTTTCTAATATTTCTTCAGTTGATTTAAGAGTATGGCAGTAATTTTATTTTTTCCACTGACCATACAGATTTTTTTTTTTATTTCAACATATTCCAGGTTGATGTTTTTCCCCAGAAATAATGTTTCATATGAAGATTATATATCCAAGGTAAAAGTACATACTTGTCATTAGAGACTGGGTTATATGCAAGTGCTTTTAAAATGTAATAGGGATTGTCACCATGATTATACCAATGTTTTCAATATCTGGCTAAGTTACCAGAATGACCTGAGGAGCCTGATATAGAATATTAACCATGCTCTCCATTGCCTGGGACATAACTGTAAAGACAGATTTTATTGAGTAAGTGGATAAATAAATCAGTGAATTATAATATCCTGTAATATATAATACTAATGCAGAAGTATCATCACTAGCATCTAGGTCTAG